AGTCTTTCATGTTTGGAAGCTGGCGTTTGAACTCACTTTCCGAACCTTTCCCTCTTTGGTAAATTGTTTTTACTGTTTGTCTTTTAAAACCTTTCCACTGAACTCCACATTTTTTCCAAGTTCGGTCCGGTAGCTTAGTCGGCACAGTGTGCTGCTAACTGTGGTTGGTTTAGCTCATCAGAAAAGGCAAGTTTCGGATCTGGCATCAATGCCCCCCCAGAAAATTTTGAAATTTAGAAGCTCAGAAATGCTCTTTCAAGCATTTTCCGTGGCATTTTTCTTCAGAAAAGTCAATCTTGGGCAAGTGTAGAGGTTCACTTTTTTATTGCTGAGCGATACTGGTGCCAAAAGAAAGGCCAAAATCAAAATGAGGCAATTGCTTCGTCTTGCTACGGTCCTGCCACTCCCGATTTATCTTTGAGTTTTCTCTGGTATGCAGTACACATCTGTTATGAATGAAGAGTTTGTTTTGTATCTTTTTGTTTTTTGTTCTTGTTTTTGCTTTTTTTTATGGCTGTTTGGTTGACTAAGGAATACTGAATATTCAATGACAAGTAAGTTTGAAGAATGAGAACATTGATTAACATTGACAGTTGTTAACACTCTGTTTCCACACTGTTATCATACAGTTCGGTCTCTTATCTTTCCGTGAATTGAGTAAAAGGAAACATGGACGATTTTATGCTGCTAAACCGAATCTAGCGAACCATGCACTGAGCAGAGCGTAAAACCCACTACAGAAGTAAGTTAGTCGTTATTGGAAAATTGCAGTTTTTAATCCATTTCATCTATAAATAAACGTTTATGTTATAACTTAGGCAAGAAATAGGAACCAATAAAAATCTGGTAATTATACGATCTGTGGTTTTTAACGGGGAAAGATTGGAACCAATCGGAAAGTGCCACATGGTACTTCAAAACTTATCAAGCCCTACCTCATTTGCAATACGCCTTCGATTTCTTTAGTGGAACAACAGCTTAACAGAATTCAAGAATTCCGGATCCCTCCGTCGGTAAGGTAAGGAGATCTGAGTAAAATTGACATTAGGATAGATAAAAAATGTTACCCCCTTTATGGAAGAAAAAGACGACATTTTTTGCCTTTGTCTTATCTCTGCAAATAATAAAGCGTCCGCTTTGAATTTTCAAGCGGGAAGTAACCGAGATCTTTATAGAGTTTCTCAAAAACACTGCTTATTTTTTTATTCAACAAACAAAACAAAATTTCTTTCCTGATTAGCCAACAAGGAATGCGTAAACAACGTCTATTGTTTAATACGAGATCTCTCAAATCAGGCATATGGTATTTCGAGGACTGGACTGGACTGGACTGGACTGGACTGGACTGGACTGGACTAGTAAAACGAGGACTAGTAAAGCGCGGACTAGTAAAACGAGGACTAGTAAAACGCCGACTAGTAAAACGGGGACTAGTAAAACGCGGACTAGTAAAACGCGGACTAGTAAAACGCGGACTAGTAAAACGCGGACTAGTAAAACGCGGACCAGTAAAACGCGGACTAGTAAAACGCGGACTAGTAATACGCGGACTAGTAAAACGCGGACTAGTAAAACGCGGACTAGTAAAACGCGGACTAGTAAAACGCGGACTAGTAAAACGCGGACTAGTAGANAGTCCGCGTTTTACTAGTCCGCGTTTTACTAGTCCGCGTTTTACTAGTCCGCGTTTTACTAGTCCGCGTTTTACTAGTTCGCGTTTTACTAGTCCGCGTTTTACTAGTCCGCGTTTTACTAGTCCGCGTTTTACTAGTCCGCGTTTTACTAGTCCGCGTTTTACTAGTCCGCGTTTTACTGGTCCGCGTTTTACTAGTCCGCGTTTTACTAGTCCGCGTTTTACTAGTCCGCGTTTTACTAGTCCCCGTTTTACTAGTCGGCGTTTTACTAGTCCTCGTTTTACTAGTCCGCGCTTTACTAGTCCTCGTTTTACTAGTCCAGTCCAGTCCAGTCCAGTCCTCGAAATACCATATGCCTTCAGAAGTAAATAAAGAATGCTAATTGCGATTAAAATAATTCGAAAATAAGGGCGATCAAGATGTTTATCTGTCATAAGTGACATATCAAATTGCCAATTTAAAGGTGATAAACACGGGTTTTTTTCCTTTTAGCATCATATTAATTTTTTCTTCTGTTTCCCCGGCACTTTTTGGTCCAGTTCCAAAGCAGCCATTATAGCATACAGATGACAAAGCATTATTATTATTTTGTTACTCTCCTTTTGTCCTTGCCCTAGGTCCCCTTTTCAAAATAGTTCGTTGTCATGGATACTCACACAGGTGGTATGTTAATCATTAGTTTGTGAAGTTCCTGTTTGGTACAGCTAGTGATCGAATCTAATTTCCTTCCAAAATTTTGCATTAACCAACTGTAAATATTTTTATAGTTTTATGCCGATTGAGCAGTTTAGAAAAAATACGTTGAGACCAAACAAAAGAATGTGCTCAGTTGAGTGATTTCAAACACCACGGTGAAAATTGATCCCTTTCCAAGCGAGAAGTCTGGCAAAATTTATCCTCCAATAAGCCTCAGTATTTACCTAATGCAACTCTGAATAAAATTATGTTGAATTTATCATAAACGATTTACGTATGCTTCCGTACGTAGCCCTAGGTTGCAATGACCTGTCGACATGTTTTCCTGCCTCCGAATTTAGTCCGTGTCAAGTGCTTATTTAATTTTTTCAGTTAAAGGCGACAAAAAATTGTACGAGAGAACAGAAACATCATTTTTGGTAAGTCTTCATCTCAATTTGCTTTATTATATTTTGCTTTTGTGCCTTTAAAATGATACAAAATAAGTTATTCGGTATATTCTACCTGCTTGCTCGTGAATTATGAAACGAATTCGTGAGAGACCACTGGGAAGTTGAATTCATTTGTTGAAACAACGAAATTTTTAATGCTGAGCCCCTGCAATCTGTTTAGATTGGGCCACAACGTTTTAGTAAAACTTGTAGAGGTTACGAGGTTTTAAGCAATATATTTCCCCGAGATTTAAAAGTCGTGCATCATCACTAAGCGGTATTGTTGTCTTGTGGTTTTTTCAAGTTTGATGGAAGTAAGGTTGGACGTTCATTCCAATTTTCTCCACGCCGCACCAGAAGCCAAGCGATTTCATTGTAGATTTACAAAAGATCTTTTGTTTTTGGTTAAAGTATCCAAATTTTTAACTGAAACTAGCATGAACTACTTAAATTAATTAAGATGTTTTGAATATGCCTGAAGAAAAATAAAATCGCAGATAAGGGTAAAGTCCATGTTTAAAAAATTATCTTCATTTCATGGAATAATGTATACTGATGTTGTTTGTGGTAATCGTTCTCCCTGGTGCAGGTTTTATTCTCCTCCTTCTTTCGTTTCAACTTCCCTATATTTTGTTTGTTTACCATTTAATGTCAAACTCTGCTAAGACCTTTTCCATCCAGGATTAGCTTTGACTCAGATGAACCAAAATCGACGTACTTAAATTTGACAACATTTGCAGGACGCATTCAATCTTTATGATAATTTAAAATAACAAGGATAAGCGAGATGCGATCGCGGCTCTCCTTCACTGGTTTCTGAGTAATTACTGTGCCAGAGGACTGACTGAAAGAAAAACGAAACTGTTTTATCCGTTCCTTGTACAGCCCTTATGTCGAAGCAGATTAGAAAACAATTGTGACGAAAACCATCAACAGTTCATCTTCAGTTGTTTTGTTGGTTGAAAGCTCTAATTGCGCAAAATAACAATGAGAAAACGAGATGGGAATTTATATATGACGGGGCTATTTTGCAATCAAGAGACTGGATAAACTTCTTAAAAAAATTGGTGTACGTTAATAGAGACATTGAGCAGGGGAGAGACGAATCTAGCTAAATTTGGCAAACCGCCAATGGGGGCGAAGGTATTCTCGATTGGCGGATAAAGAAAGATAGTTAAAGACCGTTTTCTGTCGATGATCAGCAACAAGTTCATGGGGGTGAATGAAAGGATGTAAAAAGTTTCGGAAAGCTGATCTGATTCCACTTGCGTTACCCGCCTTCTTTAGAGAAAATTTAATTAATTTGACGGTGTTTGGTTGTGTGTATGTATCATGTGTGTCTCTGTGATTATATACTTGAGAAGCTTTAAGTCTAAAACACTAATACAAGAAAAAAATAAAATTTTTTTGGCGACACTTTGGTGCAAAGAAAATTCATGGCCCTGATTGCAAAAGATTAACAACGAATTTTAAAACTTTTAGAGCGGACTAAAGGCTTTATTTTGTAGGTGTTTCAAAAGTATTCACAAAAGCGATCTTCCTACATGCCTTTTTCCCATGTCCACTCAAAAACTGAATCGTCATTCTAATACGTGGGCATAATTATGTTTAATCTTCCAAAGCTAATTGTACCGAAATTTCAAAATAAACTTTTCACTGAATGAGTTGAATTTCAAGGCGCCAGAAATATTGTCGAGTCAACCGTTTTATCATTAAACCCATTAATAAAAATACAAGTATTTAAAATTGTGTACATTTTCTTTTGATATAGGACACGGGAAAAAATGCAGATTTAGAAAGTAAGTAAGAAACTTTTAAAGACATCTGCTGGCTACATGAAGGAGACTGAATTTCGGAAACTGTTAGACGTCTCTTCGGCGTCTTGAACTGATAAAGGAAACACACCTGTCAGTTTGTCAATCAATTGAACGCGATTTAAATGAACTATAATGTTTTTGTTAATTTATACCTGTCTTTATCCAGTTCTGTATCTAAAGCTGTCTATATGCTGATGCGAGAGCCTTCTAGTGTTTATTTTTAATGGTTATATCATACAACTAGATTTTTCCAAAAATTGCGAGGGATAGTTATGCAAATGTAAATGACGGACTTGAAACAGCAATTTGATGGAGATAATTACGATCATTTTCTTGGCAGAAGTTTCTTTTCTCCTTTTTAGCAGCTAATGATACCCTTTATTTTTTGCGTTATTGCCACTTTTCTATCTGTTGTCAATCATATTTAATATTTTCTTGCTCTTTTGAGATCTGTTCTTCTTTCACTAGAGTAGACAATGGTCTTTCATGTACAAGATTATGGCTAAGCATACAATCGGCGAAAAAGGATCCGCACCTTTGTTCTGTTGAACCGCCGTCTTCCGTAACAAGATTCAAATGCAGACTAGGGCATTTTAATGATATTCATTAGGACTGAAAAGTTACTTTAAGACATTTCTTTAGCGCTTACGCAGCCCATCACGTTCTAAATTTCGCAGAATGCACACCGTAAGACTTTGAAATCCTTTTGACGCACTGAGGATTTCGTGAAAACTTCCTCAAGTGTCCTCCCACATGTTTTTGTAAGAATTCTATGACTTCTGTTGCTCAAAGTTCTGATCCAGATGTTTTCTAAATGGATAAACAGAGAAATCAATTAACGGGAGAAAACCCTTGACATCCTCATCCATCTTTCTATGCAAATAACGCGAAGTTAGTGAACACGAAGCAATTTTAGACAAGTACGTCCTAAATGATGTATTTCATCGAAGCCGATCGGTCTGAATACTTTAATACCCGAGCTTAAATGATGTGATCTGGGTATGTTCTCGCAGTACGCCAGCGCTGTTTTATCCAATTAACTAAATGCAGTGTATTACGAAAACAAGTTTTTGATTTCTTGTCACCTGAACGAAACAAAAGCTGTGGGCAGCGCGAACATAATATCTCGGTTGCTAACAGATTATGACGTTTACATTATTAGGCACAGCGGAACTGCTTTTTTCATTTTGAAAGGTAAATACATGGGCTAGTAGTTAATGTTGTCATTTTCTTAGACTCGACTCTGTTGTTGTTTTGGCTTTTTACTCAGGAGGCAACTGACTAAACGTGCAGATGAATCATTCGAACGGATCATCGTTTAATTCCACAACGCCGCCGTTGAAAAACATCGGAAACGAACAAGAACTTGTTGGCTCCGATGACGCAACATGGATTCTAACCAGCGCTTTCATTATTTTCACAATGCAGTCAGGTTTCGGTCTCCTCGAATCCGGGATGGTTTCCAAAAAGAACGAAGCTAATATAATGGTGAAGAATGCAGTGGATGTCATTTATGGTGGACTGTCCTATTGGCTCTTCGGGTTCGCGCTCAGTTTCGGAAACAAAGCGGCTGGGAATGGTTTCTTTGGGGTTGGATATTTTTTCACGGACGCTGATGACAGTGAAATGGGGCAGGTGTTCTCAAAGTACTTTTTTCAGCTTTCATTCGCAACGACAGCTACTACAATCGTCTCGGGTGCAATGGCAGAAAGGACAAGCTTAAAAGCGTACACGGTTTATTCATTCATTAACACTCTAACTTACAGCGTCCCCGCTCACTGGATCTGGGCTGAAAATGGCTGGCTTGCCAGAATGGGGGCAGTCGATATCGCCGGCTGCGGAGCTGTGCATTTAGTTGGGGGAGTAAGCGGATTGGTAGCGACGATGATGTTGAAGCCTCGAACGGGAAGATTTGATCCAAATTCTCCACCTCAACAGATGACTTCACCTACAAATGTTCTCCTGGGAACTTTCATGTTATGGTGGGGCTGGTTGGGTTTCAACTGCGGTAGCACATTTGGAATCAGTGGCATGAAATGGAAACTTGCGTCGAGGTAAAAAATATTTTCTTTGTAAATAAGTTAGATTTATTTCATTGCCATACGCCAATTTATTTTGATATAAAGTAGTAAGATGTAAAAGTTTAAAGACAAGCCGAGTTTTGAAAACAATCGGTTAGTTGGCGTTAAGAGCTATCCTGGGAACTTCAAGGCTACCTGCAAAATGGCGACACAGGACTAATAATCATTTTTGTGAGGGTTTACACATAATAATAATAATAATAATTTATTGATTTATAATGCGCTTTTTAAGATGCCAGGTGATCAAAAGCGCATTACAACAATATGACGCGTGGTTAAGCCCAAAATTATACGCGAGGCGTAAATTTTACATAAAGACAAGTCAAAGTGGGATTTTAAGTTTTCCCTTCAAATTCGTGGGGTGTAGAATACTGTTTTCAGTTCACGTGACGCGAGAATTTTTCACGCTTTTAGGGAAGTCTGAAATACGCGTTTCGTTAAACGTGACGCGTGAATTTTTCTAAATATTGACAAAGAACCTAATCCGCTGTTCGTTGCTAAGAGGATTCACTTGAAAGAAATTCTTAGAATATGCTTACATTGACGCTTCACAGTTACTATGGTAACTTTCGATTCAACTCTCGCCTTTTCCAGGTCAGCGGTCGTCACCATCAATGGCTCGATTGGCGGAGGAATTCTGGGAATGGTTTACAGGTAATTGATATATGCAGAAATGGTGCTGTGATCTCTGTATAAAGTATTTTTTTTTTTAGTACTCGACCTCTCACGTGCTGGTTTTCTGGTTTTTCTTTCAGCTACGTTTTCTGCGATAGGAAATTGAACATATCTATCTTTGTTACTGGGATTCTGTCGGGACTCGTCAGTATAACAGGTGAAACTTGAAATCAGTTGCACAGTTCAGATATCCCATAAGGATAAAATGGCAGAATATGCCTCAAGTACTGTTTAAACATGTGGCATGTGCGATGGAGAAATAGTTAGCGCGCTGAACTTAAGATAAAAAAGGTTTGGGTTTGAGAAATGGCCTGTTTCCTCGTCCGTTCAGGCCTGCGATCTTCAGGTTCGCGAAGGTCACGCGAGGCGAGGACGATAGGGGCGCACAAGGCAAAGGAACAGCATTGTTCGTGTGTGTGTTTCCCGTGTGTCTCACTCCCCAGCCTTGTCATATCACTGTGCGCCTGAAAAAACGAAAAAAAAATTCGTGTGCTGGAGGCTTAGTCAGTCCGATTGAGACGTCTCCTTTTACGCCTTAAACGTAGATCAATGTTTTTAATTATGACGAATGAAGACCATTTAATTCTTTTTATATATCTATTGGTTTCTTTTCTTCCCTACTCAGCCATCTGTTCTCTCGCCCGTCCCTGGGAGGCTCTTCTTATCGGTGCGATAGGCGCCATGTTGGCATGTCCCGGATGTAAGCTTCTCGAGCGGCTTGAAATTGATGATCCTGTTGGTTGCGTGCCGACACATGCTTTTGCAGGGATTTGGGGCTTAGTCGCCGTTGCCTTTTTTACCGAGAAGGACGTCTTAGAAAATACATTCTCCGGCGAGTTTGGAATATTTAAAGGTGGTCCATGGAAGTTCTTAGGAGTTCAGCTGCTTATGTCTCTAACGATGACTGCCTGGGCTGCCACTTCAACCTACTTAGAGCTCCTATTGGTCAATCTGCTAGTGGGAATGCGTATGAACGAAGAAGAGGAATTACTGGGCGCAGATAAAGTTGAACATGGAATTGAGCCCTTCGATGCAAACTCCTCAGATTGGCCCGACGTCCTGAGCGGAGGTGAAAATGTAGTCGAAAGTAGACTGGAATCGATAGGGGAAAATCCCGTGAATTTACAGAACGCTGGAAGTCGAGACTCTTTATCGGAGATAGAAAATGGACAGAAAGATTCTTTGGCAACTATTTGCAGTCGAAGGAAACAAGTCAACACTTAAACACGAAGGCGCGCTATAAAAGGAGCCTTAGGTCCCACTGGACATTTGTCAATCAACCGTCGTGTGATGTAGAACTCTCAGAGTCTAGTCAGCTTGAGCTACAACTACTCCAAAGTAGTCAACAGCGGGCGCATTCCTCAAAATTATTTTATGTCTTCTTTTTCATTTTGAAAGGTAAATACATGGGCTAGTAGTTAA